CCTTTACAAAAAAAGTTAGGTTCGATTGAAATGGCATCCTTGTACACCGAATCTTTAAGTAAATAAAAAAAAATGTTGAGATAAAATCGATAATCGGTAAGACGATAAGATACGCCAGACCTAAATAACCACCTTAAAGATAGAAGTCCCAAACATTGACTTCTTAAGAAAGCGTAACTTTCCAATTCATTTTGAAAACAACCAACTTTACAACTCTATGAATTTGGGTATATTCCTAATTCTAATAAATGACTGCTCTCTCAGATCAAAAGGAGCCACACAAATTTTATTAACTTATGATGGACATTAACATATTCGATGTGGTACAATTTTCTTCTCATCTATAGAACCGCAATGCGAACAAATATTGTTGAGGGTCGCTCAAAACTTATTGCGTTCTTTCCTAATACACAATGATCTGTCAGCACTGATACTATAGTAGTGCTGTTTCTGTTTTAGCTGAAGCAGGTAATATTTTAGTTGGTACGAATTTTGTCCCATTTAGATCAATTTAACTAAACTGACAGATGTATGCTGACAAATTTCTTCATCCGCTCAACCTGTTCTTGCCAACCCTATATATTTATGCTTATTAATTCCTTTAGCCATTGTTACACAAATACTAGTATTAGGAAATTGCATAACGAAGGCCTTTGACAAGTTCGTCTGGTTTGTTGTTTCCAGGGATGTTTCTATGTCTAAGTTCGTATTTGAGTTGGACATTGGTAAACCTAGACAAGACATTACGAGAAGTCCTGTAGTCTTGAACTGCATGAGTTGTACTTGTAACGTCTATCAGAGACTTGATTACAGCTTGGCTGTCCGAGAGGATTGCGACAAACATGTCAAAAACCGTATTGCTTAGGAAACACTTTGCTGCAGACTGAATTTTCATTACTTCTACTAAAAGACATTGCAATAGTCAATAGTTGTTTAGTTTGCGGTCATACGTATAGTGTCTATTATGTTAGTCCCTATATTAGCTCTGCTTGATATGAGACAACCAAACGCCTAAGCGAGGTTTGCATATGAACACATGTAGTTAATGGAATTAAGAGATGGAAAGTCTTGTTTCAGTATATCTGTGTGCTCTGTTTCAGTTTCAGATCACTGTTAAATCTAAGTTCTATAAACTTAGCTTGCTGTTTTAGCAGAAATCTGAACGGTAATCCATGAAGTAATATAGATTGAAATAGAGCATAGAAGATAGCTAAATATCTGTTGCACTGTTCAATAGAGTTTTGGAAGGCTATGATTCACTTCATCTGAACTATAATTTTGTAAGTAGGTCATGAGAATTATAAATTTCTATCTAACTAATATATTGAAGAAAATTTTTCAAATATTCATTATTATCTTTTTCTTTGTTGCGATTGTTACAATTTTTCTGAAGCTTAAGCAAATATAAAATTTTATATTATTGATCGAATATATTTGCTAAAAAGATAATACGAAAATGGCACAAAAAGTAACTTCAGACGAAGAAACTTACTTAAGAGCAGCTGCGTCCAATGGCCATGGAACGGATACAAGTGGTGACTATTTCGAGACATCCGAGTCCGAATTTGAGAATATTATAAACTGCCAACCTGTTAAACGGAACGAGGTAAGTAACAAGATGCGAAGAATCATCTAATTTAGAATTATTGCGAATATTTGAGACTCCATGGAATACAATTAGATACGATGCGATATTTAATATAAGAGTGTGATAATTCTTTATATATTACTCTTTGGTTTGATTTATTTTGAATTTTATAAAAATATATTGCATTAAATATCTGGGTATTAAGTGCAACGAGGCTCTTAAAGTATAAATAGCAGAGAGTAAGCACTTTATGTATATACTGTAGATCAAGTTTAAGGGATTCTTGATAAATAAATAAAATTAAAATAAAACTGAAATGTTATATTAAATTTAACTTAATAAATTTTTCAAGGCACTTGCTGCTTACGCACGTCAACGTATATTAAGCAATTCTACTGAACTTAACAAAAATCTTAGTTTTATGACTTCTTCGTCGGATGACGAGGGAGATACTGATTCTTTTGATGAACAAAATAACATTTCTGTTCTTCCTATGAATTTTGATGAATCTCTTACACCACATTTTAATGATTCGGAGCGTACTAATCCAGCTGATAAAACTCCGAAACAAGTACCTGCAGCCCACCAGACATCTGATAGAGAGCAGAAATCTATTAAGTCTATTAAAAACACTGTTCGTGCTAAGCATAATATACTTAAAAGCTTAGAAGAATCAAAAACAATACTTGTTAGACAATTCAATGTAGTAGCAAGTGATGCTAAGGAAACAGAAGACGAACAGCTGACACTATTAGAAAGAAAAGGACGACAAGTAACAATAAGCGCAATAACTTCTGATATTGATTACTGTGATTTAGAGGAAACGGATGTTCCAGTTGTTGCGCTACAACAACAATCAGGAGGAAGCATGACTGCTTCTGCCGAGAGCGAATGCGAAACCAACAGTTGTTATCAAGTCAAGACAAGTGCAAGCACACGTAGTGGAACAGTTAGCCCAAACGTTATAGAAAGAAAGAGGTACGAAAATGCTCAGCAGATTGAAGATGATAAGTCTGAGATGAATAGAAAATCGCGTGAGAAGTTAATGCAATTTAAATTAAATTTATTAAAGTGGAAAGAAAGCCAAAATTTTTCCAACAGTAGAAGCTCACAAGAGGAAGAAACTGTTGAGGAAAATATAAAAGAAGATGCCTCAGATGCTGAGTATGATGATAATGATGACAAAGAGGGATATATTGCAGAGTCTTGTGACGAAGAAGTGGAGTATGAAACTGAATCTCTGACATTGTCAGAAAATGAAGCTGACTTATCAGAATATGGCAGTTATAGTACAGACTCAACGAGTGCAGAATATACCACATCTGCAACAGATGATAATTCTACAGAGTATACTGATGCAGTAGTGACAGATGATTCATCTCCGTGTACATCTTATGCTAAAAATGATATGATTAGGGAGCGCATGCACAATATAATCCGCTCTGCCAAACCTTCAGAAAGTGAGCAGTTAATAAAATTGGAGGAAGCTAACAAATCTCAAACAGATCTTTTGGGTAAGAATTTATCCAAAGCAAGGTAAGTAATATAAATCGTTTTAGTATATCTTATTATTTATAACTTTAAAACTCGCATGGAAAGAATACCAGTTCCTGCGCGTTTTCCTGCCGTAAGACCTTTTAGAAATCGCAGCTTCACCGATTTGCAGATGCGTGAGATTGCCCGCGAAAACAATATTTTGGCACGAAAGTTAGTTGCTTTGAAGCCAAAAAAATATAATAATGCGGTAAGAACATAACTTCATTATTCATCTAGTGTATTACGTTTTCAATGGTATATGTTTCTTGTAGTACCAACAGATGGTGCCACGCAAAATAATTGCGCCCTCGCTGACCACTCGTAAAAAGCAGCAGCAACAGATCGATTTCGAGAACAATATTCTGAAGGGCAAATTGATGGCTATTGGACGTCGTAAACCACTTTTTTAAGTATTTGTTTTGTAATTTTTTTAATGTATATTTTTTATATTACTTTTTTTGGCTATATAAGCTTGAGTCTATTAATAATAAATTATAATGAAGTGCTGTTTGATAGAAAGAATATATTTAGTTAGTTTTATTTGGCGAGGTAAAGATATATTTTTTATAACTCTTCTCTCTTGTTAAGATTAGTTTAATTTAATATGAATTTATTAAATGTGTAGACTTTTGAAAATCAAATCAATTTTTAAAATAATTTCGCTGTAGATTTTATTAATATTTTTATTAAACATGTCAATATCTTTCAATATATTATGATATATAGAAAAATTCTGTCGTTTTTTAGTTACTGTTACTAACAAATTTCGCTATATTTATATATGCAAATTTTTATTTTATTTTAAAAATTGCAATGGCTTCTGATTTGAGGATGCACTGCAGTTAAAGAATTTATAAAAATAATGCATAATGTATTAAAATTGTAGTTATTTTTAAATCAATGAATTGTATTCTATTTTTATAGTTTTTTAAAGGATTCCTTAACCACTATAAAAATAAAATAAAATTCATTGTTTTAAAAATAGCTATAATTTTCATATGTTCTATATTATTTCCGTACTCCAAACATGCTTACCGACCACCCAAAGCGAATTCTTAAACAAGTCAAAATGGCACTATAATTTTTTTTTTTTTTTTTTTTTGACAAAATTTCGTACTTTAACACCTTCATCATAGATCTCTGAACAGACACCAACTAACAGTGCATCGAAGCACAGATTTGTGCAGTGATCATACATAAATCCTTTAGCGCCTTAACAACATTTTATGATGTTCTAAAAACCTCATCGCTGTGATATAAAACATACAAATATAATGTAAGGAATGGTATTGGCTTTAATAGTATTCTCAAGTGTTCGTTAATAAATTATGGGAGATAAATTAAAAGGAGGAGATACTAGATACGTAGACCACACACCAGGCACCCTGCACTGCTCGATATATTTCAAGTTGTGGTTTTAGTTCAGAGCGTTTAGTGTCGCGCAAATAGCATTGAAGTAGGCAAGCCCAGTGACTGATGGACGGACGAACATTGGAACTCTGTTAGAGTATGTCGTGTATAGTAAACACAAATCAAAATATTTTGAAAGAAAAAGTCGCAATGAAATGACACGCATTTTACACACAACCAGAGGTCTTGCCGGGTAGGCCATAATTTACGAACTCAAGTTGCACTAACATTTACGGCCTGTTGAACAGGAAGAAAGTGCATATCGCAGTTGTGTGGCAACCTGCCACATGCGAGTGCTAAGAGGCGGTTTGGTTTATGCCAAAACAATTGAAAAATAAAAATTTCTTAAATAAACAAAACCTAAACCGAACCATAACTAAAGAGAAAGTTACTGGTTCCAACCAAGAAATGGAATGCATATCCTTTCTTCTAATATAAAAATGTTTATCCTGACATATTATGTTCAGCACAGCATGTCGTACACAAATGACCACAAAATAGCTGACTCTTATGCATACAGCCTTTTGCAGTCAATTTCGATATTTTTATTATGCAAAGTTTCGCATCCACAAAAGATGTTTTGCGAAAATAAGATTGAAATTTTGTCTTGGAGAAATATTTGCATATCAACGCTGCGGGCAGCCTACATTTTTCTCAGTGTACTTCTTGCCTCGCCGGTTGCAGCAGAAAATCCACTGCAGAAATAAAACATTTCGTCATGCTTCATTGTCAATTGTTTGAGTTACGGCGTTGGCGAATTCGTAGAAAAATGTTTGCTAGTCCGCTGACCAAATATGGTGTCACAATTGCAGCGCCGCGTGTACGGCTCGTTTTGTCTGTTATTATTGTTGCCGCTAGTTGTGCTGCTGTGGCAGTTGTTGCTGCTACTGTTGCAACTCCCAGTGCTGCTGCACTTCATTTGATGAATGACTGTTAAGTGCATTCGTTTTCCTTCTGCACAAATCCAACCTCTTTTGTGGTTCTGCATGCAAAGGTGCCGACAAGCAGCATTTTCTGGAAGAATTACCGCATTTAACACAAAATAAATTGTTATCCCGGAGGTTATAAATTTGGTGACAAGGTTTTTTTTTATCATTTATTCATTTATGTATTTATATGTAATTCAATAAAAACTGCTAATGTATCAACAGAGTAATAAGGTCCATTGCTATCTACGAAATCGACTACAGAAAAATGTCAGCAGACGTCTTTGACAAAGCTTTAATAACTTATAAGGTACTTCGGGGATAGTACTATACTTTGTGATTTATAATTAATGTAATTTAATTTCTAAAATAAAAGCCTATTTTAAACAGTTACTACGTGTAACTGTACTACACAAAAATTCTCCAACCTCTTTTTAATTGATAATACAGTTTAAGCAATCCCTGATCTTCCTTTTAACACTCCTTCATTCTATACGAATTCTCTCAACTGTTCATCTCAAATCGGTACCTCAAATCAGACAGTATCTACCGATATTTTTTCTTTTTTTCACTTCTTTCTCATTGAAGTTATAGTAAAACTACATATCTCTGATCTTTCTTACAAAGCTCTATAAATTCTTATAGTTTTCGTAAGTGTGATTGTTTCTTTTTTTAAGAATTTTTAATTCTTATTTCAATTCAATTTTCGAAGTTGAACGTGCTTATTGTTCTACTTTACTGATGCATCGGATTATTTGAAACTTAGTTTGTACCTTTAAGCCTATATTTTATAACAAAATCACAATCTCAATAAAAATTCTATTTTATCTAGAAAAATTCTATCATAGGAGCTGTTATGGAACTCTTACGGAATCAATAGTACACTCGGTCAATTTTCGTTCTGCTGCGAATAGATAGTTAATGTCGCTCTATATTAAGTACCAAGCTTGGTTTAAGCTTCGTTTTATAAATATATAGTAAGCATTGATCAGATAATTAGTTGCAATGAAATAAAGCAATTTAAATAGAAACCGGGAAGTAATAGCTATAGACAATATCATTTATAAGCAATGAATAACCAGATAATACTATCAAAAAACTATCAAAATGAGTTTGAAGATGCTAAACATAATTTCCTTTCACAATTGTCATAATAAATCCTGGGACTATTTTGATTGTAGTGATTAGGCACAGAAACCTTCGCTACCATGACCAAATATTAATCGTAATTTTTAATTTTCTTTAATTTGCAAATTTTTAATTTATATTAAAAATAATGACTATCTATATAACATGGTCCGAAACATATATGAGATTATACTACAATTTGGTGACATTGCGCTTAATTGGGAGGACAACATTAAATACCTGGCAATCACGTTTGATAAGCGGTTCACTTTGCGCAAAAACACTACATTGCTTGCAACCACTTGTCAAACACAATAACCTCATCGTGAAGAACAGAAAGCTGATATACAGCCAGATAATCAGACCAGCACTACTCTATAGGTGTGTCGTATATACCAAAGTTGCTAACTCTACTATCCAGAAGCTGCAAGTTGCTTAAAGTCAGGCTTTCTGAAGACTCTTCAAGTGACATGCTAAGAGACCTTAGAATAAACCCGGTCAAAAAATATACAAAGGTCATAGCTCTGAAGCTATTCGCGAAAACCAGGCTGCACTATTTAGCACTATTTAATCTCAAAATAATCATTAGATCAGTCGAGTAATCACGAAGCTTTTGAGGAATACATAAATTAGTCAATGAAAAGGGTGGGACTTCACAGAAACCCCCCTGCTATCAAAGAGTAAAAGTGCCTAGATGCACTAACTGGAAAAAGAATCAACACGAACTATAATCTGGTAAATTTGTTGTATGTAAATACAAGAACACTCGGTAAATTCTTTGAGATTTGTAACCTAGTCAGAACTTTGTGTAACTCGGAAATAATAAACTCATTTATTCTGTTCTTTCCTCCCTGTCACTTACTCATTGTCTCTTTTTCTATGTTTCCTGTACAAGAAATAACGCTGACGGGGTGTTGATACTCAAAGGAACATTCATTTCCTCATGGTTGCTATGGCTTAAGATCGTAGATAGCAACCTTAGTTTAGTTAAGCAACCTTGGTAAACGCTTCGAACTAGAATAGTTAATTTTAAAGCATTTGATATATGCTATTCCGGTTTTGCTAAAAATAATAATTAAAGGTCTTGATATTATTTTATGTCATAAATTAGAGTACATAATGGAAAATTATCGTAAATCTTAATATTGCATAGTAATTTTGGAAGAGAAGGCTCAGTAAGTGTTTCAGGTAGTGGAAACGAGCGTATTTCCAGCAAAACTGCTGATCTTTTAACCTTTTTTTTAATAGTACATTCACACTGTCTCATTTACGCAACTACTCATTTATATTAATGCGTGAACGTTCACATTATAATGAGTTCATTTATGCAGCAGATAGAACTTTTATAAACTTAATATCACACAAAAAAATTAAATATATAAATGAAATATTAAATTATTTATATACATTTTATATATCAATTACATATTCAATTAATAAAAATAAGGATTTTATTAAATACTTATTTCCTCAGTGCCATTGTTTACAAATTTTATAAATTCAAATTTATTTTTAAGGGTTGCATTCGACATTTTTCGTTTTAAATTAGCTGATTTATTGATAATGAGCTCATTTACATGAAAGAGCAAAACCGCCTAAATGAGACAGTGTGAACGTGCTATAATTGGTAAAGCCAAAAATTAAGCTTTCAACTAATGTAATTTTACCGAATCGTTTCGTTAAGTTGGCTATAATCAATTGATGTTATTTCGAAACTGAACGGTATTTTATTACTCTAGGGCTAAGTTTATTGAATTTTTGCAGTAAATATTTTTCATTTGAAAATAATTTTTTATACGTGAAAATATATTTTAAATAATCATTTTTATTTTACTTTCATTTTTTGTTTTTTTTTATGTTATTTATTTTTATTTCTGTTATCAACTGCAAAAAGTCAATTCAATGCATAAATATTTTAATAAAAGTCGCCTGCAGCGAAATTAATTGCGAATTCGATATAAATTTGTCGTTCCCAAGTGCTGAACGGATGAATTGTGGTACCTTAACTTGACCACAACAAAAAATATTAAAATTACAAAAAAATAAAATAAACTGAAGTGGA